ATACTAGTCACACGTACAACTTTTGGTTGCCTATTTAAGTAGTCCGCTTATTACTAAGTTCTACACTAGATGTCATGATCATAAAAGTTTGTCAGATAATATCCTTTGTATTATTGTTAATTTTTTGTTTCTGCAAATTTGTGTACAGAGGATCAATAAAAAAATTAATGATAATTTAATATTAGTTTATTCTAATTTAAAAAAAAGCTATTTAAAATTTAAAATTAGAAAGATTAATAAAATGATTTAGTTTCTTAAATCTTTTTATTAAAATTGTCAAAAAATAAAACAAATTTAATAATAAAATACTAGATTTATTTTTTAAAATTCTTAACTATTCTAATTCTACTTAACCTATCTTCTAAATTTGAAGAAAATCACCAGATGGCTATTAAAAATTTGAAGGTTTCTTATTTATAAATAAAAAAACAATAAAATCTAAAAATTTATTAGAATATTTTAATAATCTAAAAAATCAAGACAAGATAATCAAGCTTCATCAAATAAATTAATAAACTATCTTTCATTACTTTTGAAACCATATACTGATCTATTGTTGTAGTGAAAGATGAAAGCTTACCATTTTCTAAATGTAGCTTTGATAACAGCATTACAAGCAACAAGTATTTTATATAAGCATGCTTTTTCCGTAACCAAACATACAATAGATTTTTTAAAAAATAGTCTTGAAGAATTTATAATAACTACTCTATATATAAAAAGTTGGTTTGAGGCGGGAGTTTTGAAAATAAATATAGAATAAAAATATAGTTAGTTTTTTATATAATATATAAAATTTAGCGACGAAAATAAAAATTATTTTTTTAAAATATATATATAGAGAGATTATCGTATTATATCGATATGCAAACTTGACTCAATAATCGACTCAAGGATCGAGTCCTGATCAAAGTCCTATTTGAGGAGTCCGGATGGATAGGAACTCGTATTTGCAAAATTTTAGAAAAAATGACATCTCAAGAAAGTGAGAGACAATACCGTTTCGAAACACTTCAACTTCATGCTGGCCATACCCCGGATCCTGTAACTCGGGCTAGAGCTGTCCCAATCTATGCTAGCGCCTCCTTTGTGTTCAAAGACACAGTCAGTGCTGAAAATGTTTTTAACCTGACTGAAGAAGCGTTTGCTTATAGCAGGTAATCTTTTTCTCGATTTAAAAGACAACAATATTGTATAGAAATGCTTGATTTTGTTTTATATCAGTCTAAGATATTTTTTTAATCTACAGACTTTCAAATCCGACAACACGTACATTCATTTATTTATAGTATTACTGTGTTAATGAACTTTTACAATTTATATAGTCAATTATTGATTTTTCAACTTATTAATTTAGAGGTATTCGAAAAACGAATCGCTGCTTTAGAAGGAGGTTCTGTTGCCCTTGCTACATCCTCAGGTCAAGCTGCTCAATTTACTGCAATTGCTACAATTTGTGTCGCGGGTGATAATATCGTATCGACGAGTTATCTTTACGGTGGTACTTACAATCAATTCAAGGTTTTTTTCATTTAGTGTACTGCGATTGGTGTTTTCTTTATTCATTTACGTAGTAAAGTTTTATTTCTATAATAGATTACATTGCCTCGATTAGGAATCAATGTAAAATTTGTACAAGGAGATGATCCACAAGAATTTGCGAAATTAATTGATGAAAATACTAAAGCTATTTATATTGAATCCATGGGCAATCCAAGATTTAATGTTCCTGATTTTGAGGCGATTGCGAAGGTGGCACACGATGCCGGTATTCCATTAATTGTTGATAATACGTTTGGTGCTGGTATGATCTTTCAAATGCCCACGTTAAATGGTCATGTTTCTTTCATCCTTTAATTAGAATAATGATTTCTAATTACTTGATTTATTTTTATATCATGATTCATCAAAGCTGGTTATTTAATACAACCAATTAAGCATGGTGCTGATATTGTAGTTCACAGCACAACAAAATGGATTGGCGGTCATGGAACAACAATAGGTGGTGTAATAGTCGACAGTGGTAGGTTCCCTTGGAATAATGGTAAATTTCCATCGTTTACTGAACCATCTCCTGGATATCATGGCTTGCAGTATTGGGAAAATTTTGGAAATAAATCCTTCATTGTTAAAGCACGCGTTGAAATCATGCGTGATGTAGGTGCATGTCAAAACCCATTTGGTTCTTTTCTTCTTTTACAAGGAATTGAAACTTTATCATTAAGAGTCGAAAGACAAGCAGAGAATTCGTTGAAATTGGCAAGATGGTTGGAATCATTGACTGACGTTGTAGGTTGGGTTTCATATCCAGGGCTTGAGTCTCATGCATCCTATATGAATGCTAAAAAATATATGAAAAATGGTTTTGGGTGTGTGCTGTGTTTTGGTATTAAAGGTGGTATTAAGGCTGGAAGTTTATTCATAGATTCGTTAAAGATTGTTAGGTAAGCTTAAGATATTAAATGTACCTATACCTATGTTAATCATTCATAATTATAACATTTCTGTTATGTAGTTATCTGGCTAACCTAGGTGATGCAAAAACTTTGATAATAAATCCCGCTGCAACAACTCATCGGCAACTTACAGATGAAGAGCAAATATCATCAGGAGTTACTAAAGATACTATACGTGTTTCTGTGGGGTATGAACATATCGATGATATTATAGCTGATTTCAAATTTGCTTTTGATAAAGTTAGAGCGGCCAACAATGAGTGTGATGATAAATAGCATTGTTTGGTTATTGAACGTGAAATCAAACTACGGGGCAGTGACATAGTCATAGGCTCATTCAAGGTCAGGGCCACGTAAAAATTTGGAAATTATTTATACAAATTTGGAAATCATATAAATAAACTCCAAATTTTTACGTGGCCCTGTTCAAGGTATTATCCTGTAACGTAATTTCATTGATTCCATAAATATAGTACAGTCGATACTGTCTAAATTCATATACTGTTTAATTACAACATGGTTATTAATTGTGTGGACCAACGTGAGTCCTTGGGTATTGCATATCAGATGATCTACTATCATAACGCAGCACTATATGATCGACGCACTACGCAAGATTTTAAAATCTTTGAAAACTTTAGAACGTTATAACTTTTTTTCTACCTAAGTAAATCTGGGGTCATAACTTATGAATTATGCATATAATTCGCGTAGCCTTAAAACTATGTTGCCAAAATTTTAATTTATATATGAGTGCTGCCAAGGGAAAACCTGTCATCGGGCTTTCAATGTCCAGTTTGTTTACTGAGTGTCGTCTAGGAAAAATCTATCATTGGGCTTCCAATTATATTTTGTGACGAATTGTTACAAACTATAATCAAAGCCTGATGATAAATTTTCCCTAGACGGCACCAGTAAACAAACTGAACATTGAAAGCTCGATGTCAGGTTTTCCCTTGGCAGCACTCATATGATTTTACCATTTTCATAATGGAAACTCAGAATTTTTATAAAGCAAATTAATATAGTTTTAAAGACACATGTAAGATTCAAAGTTACGGGACTAGATTTGCTAGGTAAAGTTATAATTTATTATAAAAAAAACTTTAAAACGTTCTAACTTTTTTTTCTACCTAAGCAAATCTAGTCCTGTAACTTTTGAATCTTTCATAAAATTGACGTGACTTTAAAACTATGTTGCGACATTTTTATTTGCTTCATAAAAATTCCGAGTGAAAAATGGTAAA